TGGCCACGGGGCGGGCCTGGGGGCGGGGCCAAGGGAACCCGCGGAGTGAGGGGTGGGTCCACGCTGGGGGCGGGGCCACGCGGGGACCGGCCCCGAGAAGGGGACCAAAGCAATCGGACCAGCGATGCGGGCCGGGACCTGCCCTGACAGTGGGGTCCTGGGTTGAGAAGCAGGGCCGGGGAGGTGGGGAACTGGGGAAGGAGCCCCAAGATATGGGGGTTGGGCCCTGGTAGAGGCGGGGCCGGATGCTGGAGGAAGGAGGAGCATTGGGGTGCCTAGCTCTGCGGCTTCTCCACGGCCAGAAGTGGGAGCGTGGCCGGGCACTGGGGGGACGCCGGAAGAACCCGGGGACGGGGCCGGAATGGGGGTGGCTAGGCAAGGGGGAGACCGGAAGCGGGCCGTGGGCGGGGCCGCGCGAGGGGCGGGGCCGCGCCGCCTCCCTACCTGTGTACTGCTGGACTCCGGAGAAGGCGGGGTGGAGGGTCTCGGCGACTGTCGGGCTCTGAGCTGCTGGGCAGACGGAGGGGCTGAGTGGGGCGGGGGCAGCAGAGGTTTCCGTCCACCCCCGATCCTTAAGGGCCAGAGGAGAGCAACACATATCCGCCCCAGCTTTACCTCTGCCCTAAGACCTCTAGAGGTATGATCCCCACCTTACAGGTGAGGAAACTGACTGAGGCTCATAACACCGACCCAGCTCTCCGAAAATGACAGAAGCCTAACTTGAATCCAGGTTTCTGGGGCTCCAGGGAGATTTAGCTCTGTCATCTACAGCTCTCTCTCCACACCCCCTTCGCTCCTTCTTCGATGCTGACTTCTCCCGTATCCCAGGCCTCCCCCTCTGGCTCCCCACACCTATGTGTCTGTGACCTGGTTGTACAGGCCACCAGAGCTAGTACAACTAGGAAAAATGAGCCGGAAGATTCTTCCCAGAAGGGGAGAGGTTGATAGAGGATGGGGTGTGATGGCTGTCATGACATGAGCAAACATTCTGTGGAAATGGAACACATCTCTGACTTTGTGTGGTTGATCCATGAGTCTGTCCTTGTGATAAGATGGCACAGAAACACACACAAGCACACATACATAAAACAGCGACCTCTGAACTAATAAGATTTCCATCTTCAGTTGTGTTCATTGTATGGTGCCAGTATCAGCTCCCTGGGTTCTTTCAATGTACTACGGTAATGTAAGATGTTAACAACGGGGAAACAGTGAGGCTGGGACCACTCTGTACTGGGATGACTAATAAGTAAAACAAATAATCAATAAATACTAGTAATAAATAATAACAAATCATTGTTTATTTTTTGCAACTCCAATTATCTCAAAAATAAAGATAAACAAATTCTCCTCCGTGGGGGAAACACAGATGACTTGATTCACATCAGCATGGTGATGGTGGTGATGGAAGATGTTAGCCCTGAAATCACGGTGTAGGACCAGTTCCAAGCCAGTGCTTGGTCAAGTACCAAGTGAATACAGTACAGATCTCTCTCCCCATACAGTAACCACTAATAATTAAGATGGTGGTGCCGTCCTCAGTACTGAGTCACATGTTAGGCAGTTTAAAATTGATATGCAAAACCTTAGGAAGTGGCTGATGGTATCTGCCCAATTTCCCAGATGAGCAAGCTGAGATTCAGAGACTTGAAACTATCTGGGGCCACTGTTACTGGACCATGAGCCCAAGTCTGTTGCAAGGCTCCTCTGCTTAAGCACCCCATGGGCCTTCTTTCTGTGCGCTCACATACACATCTGTCATTTGAGATTCCCTTTGTCCTACCACTCTGCTCCAGGGGACCCATGGTACAGAAACTCATCCTAACTGTCCTAGAGAAACCATCCCGGCCCCCACCACTCTCCAAGGCCCTGGGAGACAACCCGAGTTACCTGGGTAGGGCACGAGGCCATTGGCATATACAGTCTCTAGGGTGGGGTGCCCACCAGGGAAGGGCATGACACCTGCGAAGCCGTTGGTGATGGGAGCCACCAGGCCGGGCACAGTAGCGGTGCCAAGCAGCGGGGCCGAGTGCAGTCCTGTGGAGTGGAAGAGCATCATGCGGAGCCTGGCTGTGTCCCAGCCCTGACCGCCCATCTTTGGGCCCCTGGAGGACTCTCACCAGAGGCAGGGGCAATGGGTGTGGCAGGCAGTCCATTAAGGCTGACGGCGCCAATCTGCTGAATGTGGCACGGTGAGAAGGCCACGCTGGGGCTCAGGTAGCTGCCCGAGGTGGACAGGACCGTTGTCTGCTGCTGCATGAGCTGGGGGTGGAGAGGGAGTCAGCACACAGTAGGGGTGATCCCTGCCCTAGGTCACGGTTCATGCGGAGAAGTCTGAACCTCAAGAAACTGGGGTGGGGGGTATCTTGATTCAGGCTGGGATCAGGGCTCAGTTAGGAAATGGCACTTGACCTGAGACCAAGGTTCAGTGTGGGATCAAGACTCGGCTGTCATTAAGGCGCAGTCTAGATTCAAAGTTCATTTAGGAAATGAGAACTCAGCCAGGGATCAGGGCTCAGTTTAGGATCAGGACTCAGCTAGGCGTTTGGTCGTCGATCAGATCAGTTAACATTGAACTCAACCAGGGTTGAATTTGGTCTCGGTTTGGAGTCAGCCTGGACTTTGGAGGCATAGCCAGAATTGGGGCGATCTAGATTCGGGGCACAGCAAGATCTGGGCTTGGCACAAGAGTAGGTCTTCATTTGAGATGAGGGTTCAACTTGGGTCAGGGCTCAACCTGAACTTCAGGGTGGTCTCTTGGTTGGTCTCAGCTTGGGATTGAAGCTGAGCCCAGGGTTGTGTTAATCTAGGGTTGGGGTTCAGTTCAGAGCTCAGGCCATGATAGGAGGCTCAGCTGGAGCTGGGTTCCAGCCGTGGCCAGGCTAGGACCCTGGTCCAGGAAATTGGGTGCGAAACAGAAAGAAAAACAGGCAAAAAGGCAAAAGCCTCCACAGAGAACACATGGAAAGAGAGAGACCGAGACAGACAGGACACCCGCGAGGGTCACTGGGCCCGCTGCAGACAGAGTGTACGTGCTGGGGTCACTCACAGCCTGAGCGTAGGCACTGTAAGGGCTGAAGGGCAGGGCGAGCGACGGCGTCAGGATGCCCAGCTGGCCCACCATCTGCTGCATGCGCCGCAGCGTTCGCTCCTTGTCTGTGTCTGCGAACTTGACCACCAGGCTGGAGGAGGCCCCCTGCAGGGCAGCAGGTGAGCAGGGAGGGAACAAAGGGGGAAGGTAGCCTGGGTCCCGGGAACCATGCCAGCTCAGGCCCGCTGGGTGAGGGGTGGGTGGAACAGGCCACCAACTGTCTCTCTGTGCACAGACACAGGCCACAGCAAGAACATCTGGGAGGTCGAACTCCCGGGTCTAGCGGCCAGGTGTGCACAGGTGCGGCTGTGCACAGGTGGCTGCCCAGGGCTCCATCTGGGGGCATGGAAAACCCTACCTGAGTCATACCAAAACCAGATGGAGAATCAAACTTCTGGGGGCAGATGGGATCCTACAACCATCACCCACACCTGAGAACAGGTGAGACTCGTTGAATGGCTGCATTCGAGACAAGCCCCCTTAGGTGGCAAGCTCACCCCCTCCACGCCTGCCATCGCTGGAACAGCCTGATGTTGTGTTAAGCTGAGTCCTTCCCTGCTGGGGACTGAGACTGATGCCCAAGTGCCCAGAGAGCGAGGGCTGGGTGGCTCGGACCGCCCTGCTGGCTCACACCATTCCCCAGAACGTCTGCAGCGGGGGTGCCGGCTCTCTGGGCCCAGTTCTCTGTGGCAGGTCTGGATTCTCTGTACAGCGATGGTGACTCCTTCCTGGTGCAAGGGGCAGGCCACCCCCGTACCTGGTGGGCCTTCCCAGCCTCTCAGCAGTGCAAGCCCACAAGCTCCGGGCTCCAGTTTGCTCTGGCCCCAAAGAGACGTTTCCAGCCAGTCTGACCCCATCCCCACCCTGCCCAAACCCTCCATGGCTCCCAGTTGCCCTAGAAGGAATCCCAAGAGTTTTAGCCTCCACTGATGAGGATCAGTCTCATCTCCCTGTTCCTCGGGAGTGACCTGTCCCCCCAGTGGACACTAGCGCCATTCCCGTCATTGCCCATGCCTGGCCTGACCCCTGCTGGCCTCAGCAAGCCTAGTCTGCTCCTAGGGTCTCACCTCCTCTGGGGCACCCTCTTATACATTCACACACACACAATACACGTGCACGCATGCTCACACACATGACATTCACACACACACTCGCAGCCACATTCAGACCCACGTGCACACTGTGCCTGCTCACACGCACGTGTTAGCACATGTCCTCGCATTCACACACAACAGCGCCGTGTAAGTTCCCACACTTGCTCTGATACACGCAGCACGCACACCAACCTGCACACCATGCATGCTCACAAACAGACAATCACACACATGTATCCACCATGCACTCCACACTCCCAAAGCACATCACACACTCACCTGCACGCAATCACACAGGTGCACACATGATGGCACCCTCAGCACGCACACCCACATGTGTGTACCCCTGTACATGACCACACAGACCCCCAAGAGTGGTTCACTCGCACACACATGCAAACACTCGTGTCTTCACACACTGACAAATGCACACGTGTGCACTAGCTCCCCGCATCACCCTGGCACATGCCTCCACACGCTGACACGCTCACATGCACACATACATGCATCAGCTCACCAGTGCACGCGCACCAAACACACACACAGCTCACTGCATACGCACTCATGAGCACGTGCACTCACACTAGCACGTTTACACGCCCACACGTTCTCTCAGACACATGCATGTGCGAACACACGTGGGTACACACGTGCACAGTCACAGGCTGCCACCCGGGGCTGCTCCTTCTCCGCCTGTGACCTCTCTGAGCAAGCGACGGAGTAAGCAGGCGGCTGAGTGGAAAGACAGGCCCCTCACCGCCCTGTGCAAGCCCACCGCTGCGCCCGGGAGCGCCCACTCACCGGCATGGTCTGGCTACCGTGCAGGGCGTGAATGGCCGCCTGAGCCTCCGTGTGGGAGGAGAACTTCACAAAGGCACAGCCTGCTCCGAGAGAGGGAGAGTGAGTGAGAGGTGACGGGCTCTTCCCATGTGACCCACAGGCCGAGGGCTGGAGCCCCGTGTGGCCAGTCCGCATCAGACACAGACAACCAGGAAGCCAGACAATCGTACAACAGAGACAGGCCATCGTTGCTCAGGCAGCTGACCACAGGCCATAAGGCAGACACATGCCCAGCCAGCCACAGAGGCGGACATTCCCTCCAGAAGCCAGCCAGCCATGTCACCGTCTGACACATGCACAATCAGAGGGACAGTGCCAAGCGGGGCAGTCGAGGCACATCCCCCGTGGGGACAAGGGAAGTCTTAGAAAACACCACCAGTGACGGACGCCAAGAGATCCTGAGTTGTAAACAGATATGCAAAATTGCAGTGACAAGCCATCAGACAGGCACAGACAGAGAGACACACCCAGACGGGGATACACTCAGATCCACACAACACGGCCACGTGACCAGAACTGGGGAGCAGGTAAAAGCCACCTCGCAGGCCAGGCCAGAGGAATGAGGCGGACAACCAGTGACCCCCCACAAAGGCAAACAGAGAGCTCCACCCCACCCCAGCCCCGCAGTTCTATAGAGGAAGGCAGATTGGGGGAGGGGAATGAAAATGTTCTGGAACCAGATAGTGGTTACAGTCACACAGTTTTGCTAATATACTGAAAAGCATGTCACTGTGCACTTTAAACGGAAAATTTTTATTCTATGTGAATCCCATCTCCATTGCGTGAAAGAGCTAGGCAAATCCACAGTCGGGTCATGGGGTACGCTCAGTCCTAGTAACGGTAAAACTGCAAAGCAGAGACAAGTTAGCCGAGTCCCAGACAGATGCACCCAAGCAGGTAGAACCGGGTACACGGACAGTCAGCAGCAGCCATCTGGACACTCCGGCAGAAGCTCAGAGACTGAGACGCAGGCACGGGAGTCTGAACCCCAGTTACAGTCACGTGGGCGCGCAGGAAAACAAGTCCTCGGAGGGCCCCCTTACTCCCGACGGCCCCCACACTCAGAAACGCTGGGACGGGGGCTCGCATCAGGCAGACACGCAGGCACAGGACACAGGCAAATTCAAACAGAGACAGACCGTGGACAGCGTCCGCTGAGAACCGGCAGCCGCAGGCGGGGCACCGGGTGGCCGCAGACCCAGCCCCTGGCCCCGCCCACTGGTGCCCGCAGACCCAGCCCCTGGCCCCGCCCACTGGTGCCCGCAGACCCAGCCCCTGGCCCCGCCCACTGGTGCCCGCAGACCCAGCCCCTGGCCCCGCCCACTGGAAACCAAAGAAACAGACCCTGGCCCCGCCCACTAGTGGCCCCGCCCCCGTGGCTCCGGCTCCCACCGCGGGGTCCTCGGTCCGTCCCCGACGCGCCGCCCACAGCCCCTCCCGCCCAGGCTCCAGCACCGTCGTCCCTCGGGCCGCAGCCCGCTCCCCAGCCAGGCCCAGCTCCCACAGCCCCGCCCCAGGCCCGCGCCCCGCCGTCACCTTTGCTGCTGCCGTCGGGCCCCCGGAGCACCGTGCACTCGTCAATAACCCCGAAGGGCTGGAACAGCCGCAGCACGTCCTCCTCCGACTGCTGCTTGTTCAGCATCCCCACAAACAGCTTCCGGTCCCCTGTGGGCAGAGACACCCCCTCAGCCGAGTCCCCGGGCGCAGGTAATTTCGGACCCTGCCGCCCCGTCTTGGGCCAACGAGGGGGACACCGGCGCCTTCCCCCGCCTCCCGGCCTCGGGTCTCCCACCTCCGCCTGCCTGCAGGTCCCATCTCTGCACCGCGGGCCACCTGCCTGGGGCGTCCTCCCTTCACTCCTTCCCGGCCTCTGCTCCACGGCTTCCACCCTCCAGGCAAAGATGGCTGTTCCCTCATGTGCACTCCAAAGCCCACAGTAATACCAGGATTAGGCACTGCCTGGCCTGGTCTGAGCCCTGTCTGTCCGACTGCCATCGAGGTCAGCCAAGCAACGTGAGCGCCGGGAGCCCCTGAATCTGCACGGTACAGCCAGAGCCCCGCTGGGGCCAGCAGCAGCCAGGTGAATGCTGATGGCTGCGTGCACAAAACCTGGCTGAGGAGCCTGGAGCCCCCATCTGGTGGGGCTGAGGGTGGGGGCCTGGCTGCAGGCTCCGCCGGGACCTACCCAAAGCTAAGACCAGCAGTGGCATGGGACAGTCTTCCAAGTGCAGTCCCAGAGCCCTGCCCCCGAAACTGCTCTGCTTCCTGTAATCAGGAACTCGCCAGCTCCATCTCCCAGGGATGGGGAGCTGGGTTACTATGGAAACCTGTTCTTTGGCAGATGTCACTCATGGGGGTGGGATGGAGGGAGACACACAGGAGCAGAGAGGCTGAGAGTAAGGGAGATGGAGACCGATGAGAGACAGACAGACAGACAGACAGACAGACAAAGAGGTACACAGGGCAGACAGAATCAGAGACAAAAGGAGAGAATACAGATAAGGAAGGAGAGAGATGGAGAGGGAGGGGCGGGGAGGGGCGGGGAGGGCAGACTGAGCGCAGGAGCAGACCCCACCTCTGCAATCCCTGGCGTTGGGTGGAGCATGGCAGCGGCTCCAGCTCCCGGCAAAATGGCCTCTGCTGGGCGCCTCCACATACATACACAGGCACCTGGCTCCCACGCCCCTCTGGCTGCTGCCCCTTAGCTCCTACTCGGCCCGCCGCGGGGAGAAGCCACAACATCTCCGAGAATGAGCGGCCTTGGACCCCAAGGGCAGCGGACCCCAAGGGCAGTGGGCCACTTGGACACACACCTGCCCGTGGTCCAGCCCTCAGACACCTACCTGGCCCCGCCCACACCTCCCACCCAGCCCGAAGAGCTTGCGCGCACCCCCATACACCCGCCAGGGCTGCAGCAGTGCGCACACAAGGCCACACCCCACGGGCCGGCCACAGCCACGCACAGCCACGCGCACGAGCCGCAGACATCCGCACACGGGCAGGCACAGGTGGGTGTGCTCGCACCCACGCGCGCTCCCCACACAGACGCGTGCGCAGCCCAGGAGGCGATCCCCAGCCCTGCGGGGCCTCCCCCGCCGCCCCCGCCCGCAGAACTGGGGACAGGAAGGGGGGACACAGCCAGAGGCCTCTGCCTCTCCCAGCGAGATCGGCTGTGCCCTTCTGTGGCACGCAGCCTCGGGCCCTGAGGCCTCAAGCATGCCCCTTGGGGGTGAGGTGTAGGGGTTCCCGCCCACTCCTCCACGGAGAGATGACAACTACCTCCGCGGCTTTCGCTGTCCGCAGGCTTCACCTGGATTGGCCGCGCCATCTGTGGAGAAAGGGGTAGGTCAAAGATGGTAGTGGGGGCGTCACCTGCACGCTGCAGGGGCCCCAGTCTCCGCCCCAGCCTCAGCAGCCTGCCCGGCCCCAGCAGCACCCAACACTCCCGCCAAATCAAACCACCCATGGTGCCACCCTTCAGGCCTTCGCTTACAGCTGCCTGGAAGCTCCTATTTTAACCTTCAATACCCCTTTCCCAGGAGGCCTCCTTTTCTCTCCATGTGAGAAGATGGTCCAACTTCTCTGATCCCTACAGTCTATCCCCCATCTTTTGTGTCTGGACTTGGTCACAAGCCTTGAGTGAAGGAACTGTCAGACCTAAGAGGACTCATTGTCCCCCCCCCCACATTGAAAATGGTGTTTAGAAATCTTCCCTAGCGCCTCCTCAAAACTCACCCAGCCATGGGTATGAACTAAGCTGGGTACTGGAAACCAGGCTTGAGGGATGTGGGGTGGGTGTGGTATTTGCTACTTCACAGGTCCTTGGACGGAAGCCAGCTTGCTGTCCTAGCAGGCTCCTCCTCAGCCTGCAAAACCCAGTTCAAAGGCCCCCATGCCAGCGTTCCTTCAGCTCTGGGTTCCATCGTCCCTCTGCTCCGGGGTTGGAGTGCAACGTCTTGCTCTGTCTCCCTCCAGGATCCCTCCATAGCATCACCCCACCCAGGGCAGAGGACAGAGAGAACCAGAGGAGTTTGCTGAGCTGAATGAAAGAAAGACGTCGGCCACACCCATGGACGACCTGGTTAGATCCCTGTTCAGAAAGGCGCTCGACACGTCTCCCTTTCCACGCACAGTGCAGTTGTCAGCCAGCGTCAGGGAGAGAAGTCTGATGTGCACCCCATCTTACAGACATCAAAGTCTCAAGGCTGGGAGAGACTTATCCAGTGTCATGGCGGATGCGCCAAACCCAGGGGCCTTCCCACAGCTGCCATGATAGAGCCCCCCCAACTTTGAACCCCTCAAGTGTCTGCCTCTGAACCTTTTATGTGAAGCCCCGACAGACCTCAACACAGCTCTGCACCCAGTCACGAGGCCTCCCCCTCACTCTGCTCCCCTTCCCCAGAGCCCCACCCGTGAAGAGAGCCCCTCCTCCAGCTTCCCTCTGCTCGCTGAGCCCCCCTTCTAAGTGCTTTCCCTGTGTCTCACCCCCACCTCTTTCCGACACCGCCCCCTTTCTAAGCACACGTGGGCCTCCTCAACTTGAACTCAGCCTTGGGAGCCCCAGGCCCAGAGGGCCTCTGTCTCGCTCATTAGTATCCCCCATTCCACCAGTCCAACCTTGCTGCTGCCCAGGAAAGATGGAGCCACTCCCCTTCCCCCAGCACACACACAAGGCCCCCTCCACCTGGGCACCACACCCCACTAGCTGGAGTTCTATGCAGAAGGGAAGATTATTTCAACCAGATGAACCAGTGTCCCGGTTTGGGACCAGCCTGACATGGTGACGGGAACTGGGGGTGAGGGGCGGCATTCCTCTGCACCCCACCCCTCCCACCAGGCTTTCCTTCCCTGGACCTCACCTCCTCCCCCCCTCCCAGCACCTTGGGCAGATGAGGATGGGGTTGCTATGGCAACGCTGATTCACCACACAAGGAAGCTGGCAATTGTTGTTGCCATGGAAACCGCCTCTTAGGGGCGAGCCCAGCTCCTGCCTTGCACAAAAGAGATATTTAAATATAATCTTCTGGAAATGGATGAGCCGAGGGAGGGAGTGAGGGACCGGGGAGCACAGGAGAGAACCTGCCCCCATCACCGCACCCTGCTCCCCCACCCTCTTCCTGGGGCCTGGGTACCTGCTCCCCATCTCCCCCCACATGCTGTGCAGCCTGGGACCTTGCACCTAAGGGAGGCCCCTTCCCTTCCCAGGTCAGCCACGCGGGTGGGAGGAAGTCCTGGTCTGGGCCCGGACCCAGGTGGGCAGCCAGCCCTCTGCAGACCCCCAACTCGAACGCTGAAGATTACAGGCCTGCCTTCGGCACCCCGCGGCCCCGCGGCCCCCCCTTACCCACCGGCCTGCCGAGTGAGCCCAGGCGAGCATCCACGTGCCACAGCACGCCGCCCAGCCTCGGGCGCGCACGCAAGCCCAGCTCTGCTCCTCGATCCGGAGCCCAGCCAGGCGCTGACGATCTGCGCGATCAGCCCGCCAGAGGCCAGGCCCTGCACGCTGCCCGCCAGGAGGCGTGCTGGGGAGGTGGGGGACTGGGTTTCCCTACACCCTACCCCCCTGTCGCCCCTGCCCGCCCATCTGGCTCTGCCCACCTCCTTCCGGCTCCCTCTCTCCATCTGTCCTCCCGAGGTCTCTGCCGACTGACTGGCCTCCTCCCTCCTCCACCTTCGCCGGCTCCCCATCGCTGCTTCCCTTCCTGCCTCTTCCTTTCCTCCTTTCTTTATTCATCACCATTCCTGCTGTGTCCCATCCCGAGTAACTGCGAACCCTAGAGGGGACATCACTAGTCTGGGGAAGGACAGAGGAAAACAGACACCCCCAGGCACAGGTCAGGGTTGAGGCAGAAAGAGGAATTGGGACTGGGAGAGCTAGAGCACAGAACAGCCAAAAGGTAGCCCTGGGACTGCACTGGCCGTGGAAAATCTGCAGTGGGTTTTGAAGTATGAATAGGAGTTGGGAAGGAGAGACAATTTGTCATGTCGGAGCAATGCCAACATCCACGGCACATTTAACCTAGAGCACATTTATGAAATGACCCCACACACACCATTTTATTGGTGGGCAAGTCAAAAGGAGAACGCAAGAAGCCGAGGTCTGATCTGTCATCAGGCTGATGGGGACCCTGACATTCCTGCAGGCTGTGGGCTGGAGCTCTGCAAGGCTCTCTGGGTGGGCAGTGAGGGGCTGGGACCCAGTCCTGGCTCCTTCCCGCCCCTTCCCATGGCTGGATGTACTCAACCAAGTCAGACACTACTGAGAAAAGCAAAGCCCTTATGTCTGACCTATTTATATCACAGATATTACGGGTGGGGAAGCTTACAGGCTGCCGGGGAAGGGGTGGCAGGAGGGATCTCTGGTGGTCAGACAGGAACCCCAAAGAGACCCCCAGGCGTTCAACATTGTGCCTTCTGAAGATGCAGGGCCAGAGGAAGCCCCAATTCGGCTGCTTTGGCGGTGGGGAAGGAATCCCGTGAGCCCGTGACTGGGATGCGCAGCCCCCGCGCCAGCCTCTTCTTCCACCTGGGCCTTCCCTGGCCTGCAGTGTGAGCCCTGGCCAGGCCCCGCTCCTGCGCTGGGTGGCTCCGACCCGCGGGGTGAAAAGCCAACTCCTACACAGATGCGTCTGCCGCTGGGTTAGGCATTCCTGCCACGCCCGGACGCTGCGGGCCAGCTCCCCCGTCCACACCAACCCGCACTCACGTCCCGCAAGGCCCCTCGAGTGCCACTTGCTCCCCACGCTCTTTCCTCCACATCTGTCTGCTTTGGCGGCTCTGCTCAGACTGAGCCTTAATTTTGGCATACCCCCAACATCACAGTTTCCCTTTTGGGTGCCCCCATTTCAGAAAGGGACCAGCATGAGCCCACAAACGACAACTGAGGTGAAGCTCAGAGTCCCTCAGCTTGGCTTGCCTGGGGCCAGCCCCTCTTCACTCAGTGTCTATGTGCCAAGCCCCAGTTGTGTTCAGAGCCCCCCAACACTGCTGTCCCACTTCGCAGATGGGCAAAGAGAGGCCAGGAGGGTCAGAGCACTCGACCGTCGTCTCAGGCTGGGCTTGGCCTTGAACCAATGTGATGTGGGTTTGCAGCTGGGGGTGAGGCCTGGGAGAGACCTCAGAGACCCTCCTGTGCACCGCGGGGTTTTTCAGGAGAGGGCTGTGTGGGAACTCACCAACCCGCAAAGCCCCCTTTCTGGGGGCTCAGAAGCAGGACTATAATCCCCCCCCCAAAGAAAGCGACGGTGCTACCTTCATCCCAGCAATCAGGGTAAGAAACAGAGCCAGGTCTGCTGCCCAGCTGCCCGCTGGGGACCCTTCCCCCTCCAGGGACCTGGACAGCAGGCATCCTGGAGTTTGACGGCCTGGTTAAGCGCCTCCGCGGGAATCCAAGGGGTCTGCCCAGTGTGAATTCCTGGGTCCTGTGGTCCACTCCCGGTTCTATTCTGGGATTCTGTTATTCAATTTAGGATCCTATTCCAGAATGCTGAGATGTGATTAAATCGCATCCCCCATGGACACCAGCCGCTGTCATCCTGGAGGGGGGACTGGGAAGGGAGTGTTGCTCTCCTTCAGAAAGCGCATGGTGGGGGGTGCGGAGCACTCAGCTCTGCCATGGGGAGAAGGGGAGCACAGAACTAGCAAACGATGGGGTCGCTGCCCTCCTGGGGTGACATGACATAGTCTCCACTGGAGCCGTGACTCCCCTCACTGTGCACAGCCATGTGGAGGCGGGCGAGCCAGCAGGGTGGGCTTCTCCAGCCCGGAGAGTTGGGGGACCCTTCCGCGGCTGCTGCCCCATTTTCCAGTGAGGGACTCACGTCTGTGCACAGTCACTGCTGGCTGATAGGCACAGGCTTGCCATCCTGGCCACCCTCATTTCCTCCCCATGCAATCAGCAAACGAGCCACCTGCTCTTGTCTGAAAGGCTGATTCTGTTTCTGTGGGTGCCTGAGGTGGGGGGTCACTCCCGAAAGTCAGCCCCTTTGCTCATCACTTGGGTGTGGAGCTACAGAAGCAGATTCCAGGGGCTGGAATCCAGGGCTACACCCAGCGGGAGACAGCATGTGTCCTTCAAAAACAAAACATGGACAAGAACCTCTATTTGTAAGAACAAAAGCTAGAAACAACACAAATGTCCACCAACAGGGGACTGGACACATAAATTATGTAGTCCCGTGTCACTGAACCAAGTTTCAATCTGCGGCGCATTGCAATCTGAACCAAATTTCAATCTACAGGTGACAGGCTGTGCCTTGGAGCCTGAGTGAGTAGTCGTGGGACGCTCGAGGTTTGTGTCATTATATATGCTGTTTGCACAGTGACAGAACTGCCCAGAGACGTGAGTCTCAGGAACAGGTCATCACTGAGCCGTGCATAGCTGTGTTTGTCGGTGGAATATTACACAGCAATGAAAAAGCACAAACCACTGGTGTATGATGTTGAATCTAGTCAGCATTACGTTAAGTGAAAAAGATACACGAAGTAAAAATAAATTGGAAAACTATATAGTACGGTCCCATACGTAAGCTAAAAGTTAATAAACAAGAGTCAACCGATTAGTTAGGATTGTCTTTATAATTGCTAAGACCATGAAAAAAGTAGGGGGTAGTTACCCTAAACATCAGGAGAGGGGGTTGGGGACATGGGGTGGAGTGGTTTCCTGGACACTAACTGGTGGTGACAGAGTGCTCTTTTTATTATTATCTGGGTTGCATAAACTTTGCTGTAAATGTGTAGTATTTTTCCAACTTCATTTTATTCTTTTAAAGATTTATTTTATATATTTATGCATATGAGAACTGGAGTGTAGGCCAGAGATGTGGGGGGAGGAGTGAGAGGACTCACCAGAGACAGAGTGGGGCACAGAACAGGCAGATGGACTGAAATACACTGCTGAGGGGAGCAGTGGGAGATCCCCTGGCCAGGGGTCGAACTCAGGCTGCAGGGGTTGGTGATAGCTTGATAGCCCTGAGACTTTAACCCCTGTGCAATCAGGGAGGCTCTATTTTTCAAATTTTAAGAGATATTTCTAAAAGCCAGGTTCCAACCCCCAGGGAGTGCTGTCCAGGCCTGAGGTGGGGGGGTACAGGGGGTGGTACAAAGTACTGGGGCTCAAACATCTGTGCTCATGTCCTTGCAGAAACAGAACCAGAGGAGCTAGTGTTTCAAGCTACAGATCCCACCCTGCTGGTGACCTCTGAGGAGCCCCCTCATGTCCCTCAGCCATAGTCTTCCCTCTGTCACGTGGGGTAGCAGCAGCCTTGCCCACCCCAACATGAATGAGGTGCTGGGCAATGCTGGGCAACGGTGATAATTTGTAGCCAGATGCTGGTGTAAGGCAGAGGAAACTGAGGCCCAGAGGGAAGCGGACCTTGCTTGAGACTCAACCCCTCTGTACCCTGGGGGCTGGTACAAAAAGACTTGAGCCATGCAATCTCAAGCATGATGACACTGCATGATGGTTCAGGGTCTAGAACATTCTAGGTCTAACCTGACCCCCTAGTTCTAGAATGTTCTAGACCAGTCCTGTCCAATATAATAATTGACTCTAGCCTAGTCATTCTAGACCTGCGCTGGTCAAAAAGGGAACTGAACACCCCCGTAGTCTAGAACATTCTAGATTTTACTGCCTAGCATAGTAGCTAGCTCCTACTCTAAAAGATTCTAGGTCTCTGCTGTCTCATCCAGCCTGACCTGCCATGCTCACCCCAGATTTCCCATGCTGCACCCTACTCATGGCTTACATACCCCTGACGCTGAACATTCCAGAGGGAAGGGTGTGCCCGTCACAGAACCTATGAGATGGGTGCCACCGCCTCCCCGTGGTGCCTTCAGTTTCCATCAAGCTGCGGCCTGAGCTCGACCCACAGCCAGGGAGGGACCCCAGGGCGCAGCAGACCTCTCCTGTCTCCCCACTGTTCCCCCAGCAGTGTGTTTTAGGCGATCCACCTGTCCTGCTCCCCACTCTGTCTCTGGGGAATCCTCTCACTCCGCACCTCTGGCCTGTGCCCCAGTTCTTGTGTGCATAAATAAAAAAAGAAAAGGAAAATTTCTTTCTTCTTTATGAGGAGCAAGGCAGGTTCTTCCCTGCTCCCCGAGGCCCAGGCTGCGGTCACCTGTCCTCTCCCTCACTCCGCACCAGGCACATGGGCCTCCCTGCCGATCCCCCAACATGCCAGGCACGGTCCTGCCTCTGAACCCCAGGGCGTGCTGTGCTGCCAGCCTGCTCCAGCCACCTCGGCCTTGAGGCCCCGCCCAAGGCCACCGCAGCTGGGCCAGAGCCCCCTGGACAGCAGGCCGCCTGCACACCCCACGCCACGCTAGCATGAAGTTTAGGCACCGTATGCAGCAGGCACTCAATAGACGCTCATTCTGCTCCTATGCCTCTTCCTCAGTCCAGAGGCATGTGGGCTTCACGGTCAACCCCAGAAGCTTGGGCCTCTCCCCCAGCTGAGCGCCACCCACCCCTGCAGGCCCCGCCCAGACAGCGCCAGGACTCACTCCGGGCAAGGTCTTCTGTTCGTGCAGGGCAGTCTGAGCTTTGATGGCAGAGTCCCTGGCACAGTAGGTGAGGAAGGCACAGCCTGCAGGGGAGAGAGAAAGGCGTGTTAAGGGGCAGTCTGTGCACCTCACAGCAGCGTGACTCACCGTAGTCAAGAAGCGGAAACAACCCTGTGGCTGTGACAGACAATTGGCTGAGCCAGTGGGGTTCGGCGGCGGGGGGATGATGTGACTTTAAAAGGGAAGGAAATTCTGACACAGAAATTCTGACACATGGACGAACTCTTAGGACATCAGGCTGAGGGACACCCAGGCGCAAAAGGGCAAGTACTTCATGATTCCACCCACAAGGGTCCCATGGAGAGTCAAATCTGTGGAGACAGAAAGTGGACGGGGGGTGCTTGGTAGCTCACCTCAGTTTCTCTCCCCGGAGAGGGCAGCCCAGGAGACTGGTGTGGTGGCAGAGGATAAGACCAGCCAGGAGAGGGGAGAGGCCAGCCCAGGCCAGAGTGGCCCAGGGTGCATGGGTGGTTGTCACACTTGGGGGTGGGAGGCGGGTGTGAAGGGCGAAAGGGACAGAGACAAGAAAGCCAGAGACGCAGAGCGGAAGCTGCGAGACCCCAGAGAAAGACCGGCGTGTTCAGAGCTATTTGAAAGACGTTTCCCCTGGTAGAACGGGAGGCTCAAGGCAGGCGTCAGGGACGCTGGGATGGACCGGGTTTCTGGGCCCCACTCCTGGCTTTGCCGGGAGCCGCCGTGCACCTCAGTTCACTGGTTATGGACTGAGACCGTTGCTGTCTGCTCTGGTGCTGGGAGGCTCCGTGTTCCCCCTCCCCAGCACTCTGCAGCACCCGGGGAGCCACCGGAGGCGCCCTGAGGGTATCTCTGCCTTGCCCACGCCGCCGCCTGCCACCTACTTAAAGTCATATCCTGCTGGACTGCAGCTCCCAGGTCCCTCTGGGTTTACCCCCAAGAGAGTCGCTAGCAGGCACAGGCAGAGGTTTGAGCCGGATATTCACAGCTGCCTTACCCACGGTCGCCAATGAGTGGAAACAACCCAGATATACGTCAACGGGCGAGTGGATAAAGAACATGTGAACCAACCGTCCACTGGACCTAGTCAGCCTTAAAGGAAGAGAATTCTCACACAAGCTGCAACCTGGATTAACCTTGAGGACAATGTATTGGGTGAATTAAGCCAGACAAAAACAGCACAAGTGCTCTGTGGCTCCATGCTGTTGTGGTCCCTAGAAAAGTCACAATCAGAGGCAGAAAGTAGGCTGGTGGGTGCCAGGAGCGGGCAGGGTGAGCTAGTGTTTCACTGGGGCAAAGTTTCAGTTTGGAGAGATGAGAAGGTTCTGGGACGGGTCCCAGTGATGGGTTGCAGCATGCGAGTGTACTTAGAAGCTAAGCTCAACCCGGCCTGTTGTCAAATGGTGAACTTCGTTGTGTGCATTTTACCAGGAAAAACATGCTGTAACCAGGCCTCCCCGGTGGCGCAGCGGGTTAGAGCACAGCATCAAGAAGCTAAAGCCACTTCCGCATGAGTTCAATCCCCGCCCCGGAGGTGACCCACATGGCGCGGCAGACCTCTCCTGACCCGCCCGCTGCTCCCCTCAGCAGTGTACTTTGTCAGCTGGCCTGTCCTGCTCCCCACTCTGTCTCTGGTGAATCCTCTCACAGGTCCTGCACCTCTGGCCTGTACCCCAGTTCTGTATGCATAATAAATAAATATTTTTAAATGATGTAATTAGATATATTGCAAATATACTGTGCCTCAAAAAGTGCAGAACACGTAAATATACAAGTTAACAAATCATTATAAAGACAGGAACCATTTCCTCCGTCAAGTCATAAAAATGGTAGAGGCCCTCTACACAACGGGTTAAAGCGCAGCACTGTGAAACTGGCCGCAGCCTCTTCAGCACAAGCTCAACCCCCAGCCAGGGGGTGACCCACAGGGTGCAGCAGCCCTCTCCTGTCCCCACTGCCCCCTCAGCAGTGGACTTTGCCAGTCTGCCTGTTCTGCTCCCCACTCTCTCTCTGGTGAATCCTCTCGCTGCCCCTGCACCCCTGGCCTGTAACCCAGTTCTGTAGTGTAAATAAATACATCTTTAAAAAAAAGAAAGAAAGAAAAATGGTAGCCACCAGGAACCTAGCGTTTCCTCCACTTATGATATTTCAACCTTCCCCCAGAGGTCGCCACCACTCTGGCTCATGATAGCCATGATCAGTGTGTGTGTGTAGCGTGTGAGTGTTTTGTCCCCTTGTGTGACACTAATCAATGCGGTTGATGCTTCCTGTTTTTGAACTTAGATAAACAGGATCGTAGCACATAGACATTCTTGACTACGTGAAATTGTGTGATCTTAGGTTTCTGGATAAATAGCCTTGACTGTGGTTCCTGTTAGGGCTGTTGTTGCCCTCTTCCCCCAACTCATATGTTGAAGTCCTAGACCTCCAGTCTTCAGAATGTGGCCTGACTTCTGGATAAAGTTGTGCAGATGTAGCTAGTTAAGGCAAGTCACAGTGAAGCAGGAGGACCCTAATCTGCATTCTAATCTGCATTCTTCTACTCAAATCACATTCAACAGAGGGCTGTGTGTATCGGCACAGCTGACCACACACCTCAGCTACATGTCAGAGCTCACTGGGACCACCGCCATGTATGTGGTCTGTCATTAACTGAAACGTGGTAAGCGACATATGACTGTACACTCCCACCACGGGGTCTGAGAACCCCATTATTCAGGGGTGCCACCACCCCTTAGTTTTGCCAGCCTTTTGAATATTAATCAGTATAGTGAGTGTGTTGTTGTATTTCATTGAGACTGTAATGTACATTCCTAAAGTTACTAATAAAATCAGGCACTTTTGCTTTGTAGTTCCTTATAAACTGTGCGTGCTTATCAACTTGGGGTTACATGTGAAGTAAATGTCTCTCCCAGTTCATGGCTTGTCTTTCTACTCTCTGTGTGAGTGTATGTATGTGTTTGTGTTTCCATTTTCTGACTTTAAGTTTCAGGCACAGGAAAGGTGCTAAAACAAACAGTGTTATAAAGCCTGAGAGAAATTCGGCATGATTGGGAAGAAATGGGGCTGCAGGAAGATGTTCTAGAGGTGACAACCCTTCCTCCTTGCATCCTTTCTTGCCTGTGCAGCCCCGTGTGTAGGACATGGAGTGCTCTGGCCCGGGAGGGTAGGCTGAGCCCTGAGCCCCTTTGCAGTCCCTGGCCTTGGCTAGAAGGAAAAGCCAGCTCATTGGCCGCTGTCCCTGGTGCTGAAATGCTTCCCTGTTTACAGGCCCAGAATCTCCTTGGGAGTCTTCATCTCTTTTCTAGTGGGGAAAATGTGTGATCTTATGTTTCTGGATAAATAGCCTTGATTTTGGCTCCTGTTAGGGCTGATCTTTTGCCCCCTTCCCACAATTCATACGTTGAAGTCCTAGATCTCAGGACCTCAGAGTGTGACCTGATTTAGGGATAAAATTGTGCAGATGTAATTAATTAAAGCAAGTCACAGTGGAGTAGGAGGACCCTGGCTCAACATGGCTGGTGCATTTTATAGACAAGGGCCTGGGGCACAGAGCAGGGAAATGACTTGCCCAGGCCACACAGGAAGGAAGTGAAGCCTTCAGGGTTTAAACAGGATCCACAGACTGTATTCTAGCCATTTGGCCTTCAAAACATTTCTCCAGGACCTGTGGTGGTGGTGGTGGGGGTACTGGCAGGTTCCTGCCTCACTCCTCCCTGAAAGGAAACTTAAAATAGTGCCACATTTCTGAGAGATGTAGAGAGCAAATGATTAACAAGCCATGGAAGTTATCTCAATTTTGCAGGGTCTGGTTTGCTGCAAACTAGCCCCTGAGGGGCCCTCTGTGGGAAGTCACAATCCCTTCACATTGGGTTGAGAAAGCCAAGACTGGGTTCTCTCATCTCTTCCAGCAACAGCCACTATGCCCCTCACCCACCAGCCCTGCTGACAAGGGGCTTGGGCACAATTTCCAGAAGCCCTTTCCCACACTGGTCTAGCCCAGCCTTCCTCCAAGAACACTCAAGGCTTGACAATCCTATGGATTCTTGACAACCATCCACATTTCCAAAACCTGGACAAGAGTTGATCTTGGGGGGGACCAATATCCATGGATGTCTCAAGACCCAAAGGTATAGCAGGGACCGGTGATGGGATCTTGGGAAGCAAGAGATTTCTGCAATAGATGAGGTTCCTGGTAGCAAGATCTGCCTCCTCGTGGCTCTTGTGTAGGGGAGGGAGCTCCCCGTGCCTGGACTTATGAAAGCAGTGACTCCCTAGGAAGAAAAATTCTCTGCTGTAGAATCCAGAATCCGAGTTCTCTGTGCTCTGCTGCATGATCTGAGCTTTGGGGATTTCATCAGCAAAAGTTGTAATAATAATAGTCAAATCCACTGAGCACCAGGCATCATACCTAGAATTCTCAGGCTAGCCCAAGAGAATGGAAACATTGTTTCTATTATTATCCCCATTTGACAGATGGAGAAATGGAGGCACCAGCCACGAGTGGCCTCCCCAAGATCATACAGCCACAAAAATCAGAGGTGGTATTCGACCCCTGGACAGCTAACTCCAGCCTGTGTTCAGCTCTCACAAATTCTTCCTCTTGGAAAGATAACAGCAGTAGCAATACCAGGTGACTGTTGACTGGGAAGTTGGACACGACCCCCGCTGTCCTGGGTACTCGGCTCCAGACGCGTCTCCGCTCTAGCAGTCTCATGAGGTGGCTCTTAGACACACCACGGAGAAGTAGAGACCACGCAGCAAGTCAGAAACAGCCCTTGAAGCTGTTTCTGGGGAGGGCAAAGCGCTGGTTTCAGAAAGTCCCAGAGCCCTGAGGACTCCGGGTCATCACAGGCCCTTGCCCTGACCTATGACAAACGTCTCACAAGTGAAAGCACCCAAAAATGGCTTTCCTTTGTACTGTCCCTCCTCCTGATTTTCACACGAAGTCCGGGGCTTTTGCCGCTTCTCAGGAGCGCGGCGAGTCGGGTCCGCCCTGCGGGTCGCTGACCTGAGCCCTGCCGCACCCTGACTTCTGCCCCGCGCCGCC